CTCGTCATGCGTTTTAATCTTTTCTTATTTTTTCTCAACACTGGGTCGCGACCTGATTAGAATATGATCTTTTGACAAAACAACTTCAAAGTGGTTTCTGACGACGAGAAGATGCAAGTAGTTGTTTTTGACATGTTTTAGTGATGATTTGTTTCACTCTGCAAGTAACAACTTTTAAACCCTTCTTTAGGTTTCAAAGTTTTCAACTGTGAATCAAAGAAGAATCCCGAAGAAACTATATTATTTCCTTGCATGACTTCGCGATAGGAGTCGTAGTCCTCAGTCTTAACTAAAGCGTTCCTAAACACATCAAAGCTTTACAACCGTGAAAAGAATTACCGTCACATTATCATCACAGACACCAATCAAGCAGAGTTTTTCTTTTACCTGTATAATTCGTAAGGGGAGAAGTTCTTTCCGAAGTGATTATCCCTTCGACACACGAAAAACTGCGTCAGAGAGCCATGCCAATGAATATGAAAGTTCCAGTAAAATATCATGCTTAATGTGCACATTTTTGTCGCATACTTTCGCTTTCCTTCTTTAGCAAGTCAACTTGCTGCATGCGATTATATTTTAAATCATTGTGAGAACTAGGAATCTCTCTTCATATTCTCTAGTGGCGAAATGCTTAATTTAATGTACCATACCTAGCTAAAATTCTGGCTGCAACTAAGCATGCCAAATCGAACTATGCAGTCGTTGATCAAGGACCAAAGGGTAGACATCACACGTGAAGGAAGTGGAGGAAAAAACAGGGTCACGAGCAATTTATGGAAAGATTTGAAACGAATCAAACCTCAAATAAACGAAAGAAAAATCCCCCAGCCATAAAAATCTTTACCTGCTTACAAGTCTGAAAGCTGAGCATTCTGTCAGTTTCTGGTAATACATCAGGTCTTGTGACATCGTTATGCCCTGACATGCTTGACTGATCACAAAATGGTAAAACCCACTAATCGCGCTTACAGTGGCTACTACCAATATATTAACATTGTAATTAGTGCATTTCCCCATCAGTCCAGTTTTATTTTCTATGTACTCTTAAGAAATACCCTCTATGTCTTCATGCGTGTATTATTCTTTTTCATTTTTTTCAACACAGGGTCACGACCTGTCTGCCGATGTCCACTGAACAAAGACAATCGATGACTTTTGTTACTGAAGTGCGTTTTATAGATTATTTTTCATCAATCTATTTTTATCTTACTTTAAGAAACTCCCGGAAGAATCAATAATTGAATTTTTCTTATTCAAATTTTAAAGTCTCTTAACCCTAGGTAGTAAAAAAATAATGATAAAAAGCAACTAACTTCTTGTTATTGTGACTGCACGATGGAAGTCGAAATGACGCTGATCCAGACACATATCACAGTTTAACTCATACCACTGTTTAACACATATCACAGTTTAATACATATCACAGTTTAACACATATCACAATTTAACATTTACAAAAACAAGTAATGCTGCTTATCAGCTCAGACATCAATAGGCAAAATTTCTTAACCTTTACAATTTATACGGGAGGGGGGGGGGGAGTTTCCCTCAGTGACCCTTTCAACAAGCAAAACAGGTTTAAAAGTAGTGCGAATGAACACGTTGGTAAATTAACATGCTTAATAAGCAGATTTTTGTCGAATAAGTTCGCGTTCCTTCTTTGATAAGTCTGCTTGCTTTAATTACATGCTTTAAATGATTGTGAAAACGAGATATCCTCTTTGAGCTCTCCAGTGACTAAATAATTGTTCAAATGTGTCACACATAGCTAAAATTTTGGCCGCAATTCAAGACGCCAACTCTAACCATTGGTCGCAAATCGGGGACCAAAGAAAGGAATGAAATTGTAAAAAATAAAAAAAATAAAAACATTGCTACGAGTTATACATGACAAAGATTTGAAATGAATCTAACCTCAAATGAACGAAAGACGAATCCTGAAACAAAGATCCTTATATACTTGTAAAGCGCCATCACCCTTCCTTATGACTTAAAGTGATCCGGCCTTTAATGGAATTTTTCGTTCCGGTCAGAATTATCAAAGTCATATTTACTTGAACGTGGATTTCAGTGTGATTATTTTAAACGAAGGAAATTGGAAAAAATACTCCTCTCCTTTTTGTCTAGGGAATAAATATGTACTCACCATTACAAAATTCGCAAGATGGCATCAAACGCTTCAGGAAAAGCAGCTTTGCACTAAAAGAGCAACATATCCCGGTTCAATCCCTGATGACTTAGCTTATCTTAAGTATCCCATCGTTCTTTTGAGGCTTTAGGACATGCATAGGTACGCAATACGTGCGTTTCGAGTAACGTTTTCTGTTAACCTCGTACATCCTTATTAATGGCGCACGTGAACCTCAAATTGATGTGAACCTTGTTTCTGCATCCTAAGTATGAAGTACACGTTGGAAATTGTGATTCTATTTGATCTCATTCGATGTTCATTTTGGTTTGTGGATAACTCAGCTGTATATTTGCGTTGGTGTTAACACCGAATGGTGTTAATAAAGCGGTGTTGTGTGATTCATATCCAGAGTTGTATGTAACGAGTAATTTTAATGAGAAATTGGAACCATTCGAAGGTTAACGTTGACTGCTCTTTTCATGGCGAACGGTAAGAATTTCTCCTTTTGACATTGACGGTTAACGTCATCAAGTTCCACCTAGTAGAAGGGTCCTCATCTTTAGGAGCGATTTGCTTGGACGTAGTGCAGTCCTACAACTATGGTTAGAATTCTGGGAAAACGACAATGATGACGTTTACAAAATGGCGGAAGGAGGTGGAATAGATGATGTAGGATGGTAAAGTCATCAAATGCTTTGGTTATAATTGTTTTGAAGATTTATTCGGATCGAAAATCGCACCCATAGTCTACAATTACACTGAAAAATTCTTCAAATGACCTATTTCAGGCACACAGACTTAGTTTTGGCGCTGTCAAAACAAAAGGACATCGACAGATTGCGGGAACTTTGTAAAGGTCATAAAATCCCGGCCGAAAATCGAGCTGATGTTTGGAAGGTATTTATTTAATCTTCTACAGTGAATATGCAGAAGACTTTAGGCGTGAATATTTATGGAGGAAGTATCTTTTACTTTTTAAGGTTTGTCTAAACGTGGTTGGTAAACCAGATGCGTTGTCAAGTTGGGATGGACTTCTTGATCTTCATCAACAGGATACTATTCGGGATGACTGTCGCCTACGAGCCGGTGAGTGTTAATTAGGATTATCCATTGTTCTCTATAGTGTCTATGTTTGATTACGAAACAGCTAGTTAGCTAAAAAGTGGCCCGATCAATTTTAAAATCTTGTGTTTGAGTAGAGAATTAACAACAGAGACTCGCTTTGATTAGTGTTCACTATTGGTGAATTATAAGCGTCAAATGTCGGCGTGTACAGTTTCTATGTGAAATTTGAATTTTGTGTGCTCATTGAGGATACTTTTTCAATTCATTTCTGTTTAATTAGCGATAATTTCCAGGCTAAGATGCGTTAAATTGGAGATGATCGTGAAGTCATCTTTCATTTTTCTGGAGTGTGGTGGCCTCATCCATAATGTATGACGAAAGTTGAAAAGCTCTAAACTGAGACCCTTTTTGTACCTTCAATCATATTTTGGGGAGATAGTTGCTTCAAAATTTAGAGTAATCCCAGCCTCTGGTTGTTTAAATAAAAAAGAAATCAACCTTCACGTTTTATTTTTTGTTATTCAATACATGAAAAAATATATTCACATACATTAATGAGGCTCTTCTTACTTCTCCTTCTCTAAGGTGACCACTTATTTTCATTTATTTTTATTTTATTTACCAGTTTAACTCCTCACTCTTCCTTTAAAATGACAACAGTCATGGCAACAACTATTACCCTTTCACTCCCAGAGGTGCTTAACCTGTAACTTCTCCCCCTAATATCGATCCATGATCCAGCAAACAGTTAATGAGAATATGGAAACTTATCAGGTAGAAGTTGTTGCCTTGATTGAACACCAAATTCTTGTAACCAATTTTCAAGGAAATGTGTAGCAGCTAGAGGGGAGAATTCATAATCAGATCTTGGTAACTGAATAGATTGAATTACAATGTATCTCATTTTGTTTGAATTATTTCACTGTGTGCCTGTAAATGGATTTGTTACATTTCGATTCACTTGTGATTTTATTTCACACAATTTTTTTTTTTTACACTTGGACCACACATATGTATCCTTCCATAGTTATGGTAAAGTAATCAAATAAAAGTTGAGAAAAAAAAATATATTCCCTTTTGCAGCTAACCTTCAGCTACCAGAAGATGAAGCAGAAGAGGTGGCACGTGACATGGAAGGCATCATAACATTTTACTGTAAATCTCGTAATGAAAAGTACCATCCTACCAGTGGATTAGCAGAAGTGCTTGCACCTTTTATGATGTTGGAGCTGCCCATGAATGATGTTTACAACTGCTTTTATGCAATGCTTTACAAATACATACCCAGGTTACTACATAATTCATGAACTTATTAAGTGGTTTGAATTGTGACAATTCTATTATTTTAAGTTATGTTCACTTCCTCTTATTGTTATGAATTGTGATGAGTTTTATACATGAGAAATTTCTGATAAAAACAAACAAGTTCAGTTTTTAAATTCAAAACGACATTTATGTAATGTTGCAAAACTGAGTGATGAAACGATTAATTGGAGAAGGTAAGATACATGTACATTTCAGCTCCACAGCCTTTTTCATTTAACTAATCATATCTTCAGATCTTGTGGAACATCCAGTCCTAATTAAATAACGGTCTGGGTTGTCACACTAAAGCATTCTGAAAATACAGCAAGTTGAACATAAAATCTTTAATGTGGATTTAATAGTTTTGATTTGTAGGTTTTACGCGCAAAACTTACAACAATGGCAAATGAGCAATCGCTTTTGTTTACACGTGGATTTTATGTGAATGATGTAGAACTATTTTTTCCTGATGCACAGTGTATTTAAAAGGTTAACTTCAGGGTGAATACCATAATGATTGTGTTCTTTGGTTGGGTAGAAGGTTTGTTAAATGAGGTCCAACTGATTGATTACTTAAATTATACTTGTTTGTTTTAATCATCATTTTTTGTTCATCTATTCTTTGTTTCATTTTGTTTATAGAGACTGCATTCAAGATGGAAAGCCATTTCATTTGTTTAGACTCCTCTTACAGTACCATGATCCTGAACTGTGTTGTTTCTTAGAATCTAAAAAACTTTGGCCTGAAATGTATTGTCAGACATGGGTAAGAATCTGCATCTTCTTGCAATAGATACTTTTCCTGCATGAGGCATTTTTTTTTGTCATTTAGATATGTATTTTTGTTATTGATTAATTTATATGTTTGTGGAAACAAGCAATGCAATATGGTGGCCAATTTATTCAAATAGTAAATCCCTTTAATGATTGCAATTCTTGTACAGGAAAGAGTAATATTTCTATAATTTATTTCTAAATGAGAAGGTAATTCTCCAATGTAAGGAGACTGAATAAAGGCTGATAGTTTGTAAAGAAACTGTTTGGGGCTGCGTCGGTGGGGGTAACGAAATAATTTGGATATATCAACAAAGTTGAAATGGTAAATTGGCCACCCTAACAACTACAAAAGCTGACGATTTGAGTGTTAGCCCTTCATCGGAGCGAGTGAGACTGAACTCTACCTATTCCGTAAAAGAGAAGGTTTTCCACACTTGTTTTTTTGTCTCCAAGTTACGAAGCCTCTTCATGGTAGCCTGTGAAACAAATGTGTTAAGAGCCATTTGGGATGTGTATCTCCTAAAGGCTGATCCCTTTTTGGTCTTTTTCCTTATGCTTGTGATGGTCATTAATGGCAGGTGAGAACTAAAACATTTCTCAATGTATTTAATGGGCTTGTGCTTTATCGTGACTCTGTGGTTTGAATGTAATAGACACCCGGACATCTCTCAGATTTCATGGTTGGATGTTATACAACTGCCCTAGTGTTAGGGTCACAGTCTTAGCCTCCCAACCTTTTAGGTACTTGACATCTTTTGCAAAATAGCTATGGATTATATGTCTTAGATAGATTTTAACCAAACAAACTAGTAGATAAATGCATAGTTTAATGGTTATGTGATTTAGAGCAATCCTGAGCATAAGTCAAGCAAACAGTTGTTGGAATTCAAAAGATAGAAATTATGCCATAAGAAAGGACCACAGTTGGACATACACTGTCTTTTAAAAAAGAGTGTGTTACACTCTTGTGAAATTTTCATTTTAGAGACATGCTTCTTGAGATGGAACATGAAGACAAAAGGGAATTACTAGGTAAGAGAAATAATTGTGCCAGCTGGTAATTCTTGTTTATGTTTCTGTGGACCATACTGACTGTAATGACAGTAATAATATTAATAGTAATAATAATAATAATAATAATAATAATAATAATAATAATAATAATAATAATAATAATAATAAGAGGGGTATTGTAGTTTGAAATTAGAGGGGTATTGTAGTTAGAAATTAGAGGGGTATTGTAGTTTGAAATGAATGAAAAGTCACAGTGGTTAGAAGTTAGACTAGGTACAGATTTTCCTGTTACAGGTGTATGATCATAATCCTTGGAGAAATATCAAGTTATTTTGAGTTTGAGGTTAATTTCTGAATGCCATGCTTTGAATACATTGTTTTAACTTTACATTTACAAATGTTCTAAGCCAGCACAATACAAACTGTAGTTCAGGGGAGATAACCTGAATGTGAAGTGTGCTCAACATATAAAAACATTGTAAGTTACATAGGTTAATTGACCACTCCCCATGGGGGCTTTTCAGGGCCAATTCCCACCCATCCCACCCTAGGGGAGGACATCCATGACACAGTAATCTCGTGCATGGGAAATTAACGTCTCCTACCCCTAACCCTGCAGGAGACGGGGCCTATGGTTTCTTCATCCTTATCTGAGAAGACTAGAATATCTATCCATTTCTTGATTATAGAAAGGTAGCAAATTCTCCTCAGTTATTTTAAGACCATGAGTATTGGTCTGGCCAAGGCTTGGACCCTCTACCTCCCGCAAAACACAGTCCGGCGCTCTAACCAATTGAGCTAACCGGGAGGCGGTTGAGAATCACAATTGTATTAAATTGCTGTTTGCTCTGACACTGTTTTTGTTTTCATTTTCCAGATACAATATCTTCCATTCCTTCACAATTAGAGGAAGATGACATTGAAGACTTTTGTTCATTAGCTGAGTATTATGCTTCAAGAACACCACAGTCTTTCAGAAAGGTTTGTGCCACAGCTGCACTTTTTGAGACAGTTTTTTTCAACACGATACAGTGCAACTGTGTATTGGACATTCATGCAAATAACAAAATATGTAAAAATGACAATGGAAAATTTTAGTGTTGATATGATGTACATTAATTATTGTTCATGTTAACATTAATATTTATCGAAATGTTTTTTTTAATATTGCTCTCATCCTATCAGAAAATGGAAAACCCCTCCCAGATAGATGAACTCAGATATCAGCCTAAAAGCAGAGCATTATACCTGTAGTCATTAATAATTGGATCACAAGTCTTGGTCTGAAATGATTTTGCTCTGTTTTTCCTTGCAGGAATATTATAACCAGTTGTTTGGTATAAAAACCATCAATTCCAACAGTGTATCTCAAGCATTGTGTCTGCCAGTCTCTGTGTCTGAACTTGTTGAAGTGAATCAGTCCTCTAAAGTATGTGAATAATGTTTGTGAATTGAGTAATAAGTTTAGAGCATCCTTTTACATGATAGTTGTCTTGAATGATTAGTTCAGGGCAGTGATGTCTGTCGCATGTTTTGTAGCTCTGGTGCTGAATAGTAGTAACATGTTTGATTTGTGGCTCTTTAAGAGCTGAAAAATAATGTGCTTGAACTCTGATCTTCAAAAGTAAACTTCTGTACATGCATTAGAGACATCTGTATGATGGATGAGTGCTATATACTCTTAATTAACACAAACAGCCAGGAATAGCCATTCAACATTTTGATTTACTGTGGAAAAACGTAATGATATTTTCCTGCATTGACTGTATAAAGGCTTAACCTGCACAGAGCATTATACTTGTAGTAAATTTTTAAGTTAACAATTTTGTTGTGTGTTATTACAATAATTATCATGTTTTGTGCCTGTATAGAAGGATGTAGGTGTGAGATTTTTTGTGGTGGACTGCAGGCCAGCAGATCAGTACAACAGTGGCCATCTTCCTACTGCCTTCCACTTGGATGCTAACCTGGTAAGAACAGATCAGTCATTCCTAAGTCTATGACTAAGACTTGGGAAGCAGGAAAGTGCTTGGATTTTTTAGAGGGGATATCATTTTGATCACCATTGGCCAGAAGCAGAGCTTAACATAAAACATAAATAATATTATCTAGAGGGAAATGTCATATTTTTACCAGTGTTGAAAGGTGCAGTTGGCAAAGGAGTGTTTGAAGCACTGTTATCAATTGTTCAAGTTGATATTGGTCTCTAATAGTAGAAGTACAATTTTTTTATGGCATCCTATTTCAGCTCAAAACTTTGACCTAACTGAAATTTCTGTTAAATTCTGTTGGTAAACAAATTGTACACTTATACAAATTATACTTGATGAATGGATTAAAATGATTTACTTGAAATTTATGTTAGTTAAAATTATCAGTGTCCAAAGTGAAATATATTTGTATCCTTGATTACAGATGTTACAAGCCCCATCAGAGTTTGCTACAGCAGCGAATGCATTGTTTGCTACTCAGCAACAGTCTATTGAAGCAGGATCCGCTGCAAGTGGAGAACACCTGTGCTTTATTGGCTCAGGGCGTGAAGAAGAAGACCAGTATGTTCACATGGTTATTGCTAACTTTCTTCAGGTAAGTATGTAACTGTCAGTTTTTAATGTTATTGCATGGGTTTGCTAAAGTAGGTGTATGTCACTCAAATTATATTTGGGCTATCAGTTGAATAAGTAACGTGATAATTAGATTGCAGAATTTTAAAGGTGGGCCCTTTTGAGAAAATGTTTGTTAGAAATTCATTGAGGATCCATCTTCTGTCCAGAAGGATAGCTCACACACTGTACATGCATAGCCTTTCCATGCTAAGCATGCCTGTATGTTTGTACTTGTTTTTCATCATGATTGATCCATGCATAAAGAGTGGGTCCTCCCCATAACCAACAAACCACCAGGGTCTGGTGGCCTTCATTCTAGAAAATTCCATATCTTAAGGTATCTCCTCACTGATTGACCTTGATGCTCTGTTGTTTTCCAGAAAAAGTCCAAGTATGTCAGTATTGCCAGAGGAGGATACCAAGGTATTATTCTCTCTCTAGAAACTGAAATGTTGTGTTTAAACCTGGAATACAATAGTGAATACCCTTGCACTGAATACCTTTATGCTCAGTAGCCAGAGTTAATGTCAGCACAAATGTACGGTTGTTATTCTATTCTAAAATTGCCATGGGTATGAGTAATGTAGAATGAATTTGCTGGGACAGTTTGTGCAGTTAACTTTTGTTTCCATTGAAATTTTATTTTATTTTATTTTTTTTTTCAGCTCTTCATGAATTATTGTCTGACAACTTATCAACTGGACTGGCAGACCACACTCCAAACACTTGTATTGTTTGTACACCTGAAGCCTTTTCAGAAGATGAAGTAAGTACCTGTATTGATGATGATGATGGTGATAATAATAATAATAATAATCATAATAATCATAATAATAATAATTATTATGATAGTTTGTATTGTTATTGACAAGTGGCAGTTTGAGTTCCTGTTAGAAGGAGGACCATAGACACAACGGAAAAGCTTTTTAGATTTAGTTAATGTACATTTATTTTTTTTTTACTCAATGGCTCACAGGTTACGGTTTTCGCCCTGTACTGCCTGATTAGAATGTAGCATTCAGTTCATTTCTCTGTGATTATAATGATAATAACGATAAAAAAGTTCAGTGTACACAACTTTTAGGAGCTGAAAAAAACAACCTGATAGTAACACAAATTTGTTAGATACAGGAAGAATCACTATATAAATGTCTTTTTCTGAGTTTTTTTTTCAGTGTGTCATTTCGCAATTTTCCATTTCTGTTATTGGTTACCATTTCAACATAACTATCTGCCAAAACCTCATACTCTAACTCAAAGTAGAGAAGAATTACTGTCCATGATTACTGTTCACTTTCTCTCTCATTCTTTGTGTCCCATCTTTGTTTCTGTCTTCAGTTTTTGATCCTTTCCTTCCTCTCGAAAATGAAATGTTGTTTTATTTTCTGATTTATGGATGAAAGTTTTTAGAGTTATCATGAACTGTCAAGAGGGGAACAGAGCCCGAGTGATTCTAGAGTAAGTTTTTAACCAGTATCTGGCACAGTGTTAAATTATATTCAGCTGTGGATTGATTGAGTTGCATGAAACCACGTGAGAAAACAACCAGCAACTACCAGTGGGTTTCAGAGGGAAAGTTACTGCTAAACAATTTAGTTTCCTAAGTTTACTTCATTTTTTGTTTAGTTTACTTTGAAAATGATACTTAACTCAATCAGTTTCAGTCTGTTTCTTTATTTTCAAATGTTGCTCCTTTCAACATATTCCTTTATTATGGTTCTGGTATTTAAAAGAACAGTTCCAGGATAATCCAGACCTTTTCTGGCTTCAAAAGTAATCTTTTACTCAAATTGCACAATTTGATCCATAACATAGTCTTGTTTGCCACACACAGGGCAGCCTAGTTAGTATGTTGTCCTCAGCTATCAAATCAGGGACTCATGTAAAGCAGAAAATAGGACAATACATCGCTGAATCACATCAACCTGTGGAAAGGTAACAAACCTGTAGCCGCAAATGACAATTTATTCTTGTGTTTTTTTTGGGTGTTTCTTTGTTAAACTCATCTAGATCTGGATAACAGCTTTAGCTATTTTACCAGCTTTATAATGATTTCACAAGCAAACATGGAACTATATATTTGTCTAATTAGTGCTACATGCATTTTTGCCATCAGGAGTTCAAGCCATAACAATTTTAAATAGAACATAAAGCAATCTGCTTTTATCTTTTTACTAATCTTGGCATACGTGATCCATAGATTTATTTCTCGTGCACAATTTTTGAAATTTTGGTTATACGTGATAACTACCAGGGTGGTTTTTTTTACTTTGTGGCTATATTTGGGTTATAGACGATGTAACTCAACTGCGGACGGAGAGGCCGTGAGTGACATGTTCATTGAGCAGAACTTTTTTATTTTGTACCAGACACGTCAGTGAGAAAGACAGACAGAGCAAGCTTTATAGAAACGTACAACCAGTGTTCAGTATTGAGGACGAAGATGAAGAAGGAGGTAATCATTGATTTGTATTCCACATTAGTTTCTTTAGAAATAAGATGGATTAGTTCACTACAAAAGAAAGTAAAACCTCAAAACAAGAAAACAAGAAATTAGAATTCAAGCTTTGATAGCATTTAAACCTTTGCTTATTCTCCCAAATGCTGATTTTACTTTTTTACCAACTAAAGAATAAGCTACAGGTGTAGAAGCGAGGAAAATGTAAGTGGCCCGTTCGTTGCCCCGAAAGGGAATTGCGTCACACCAGAAATAAGGCTATCTGAACTCAGTTGTTGCAGGCACAGACTTGTTCATTCCCCGTCAACGGCTTTCTCTCCTGCAATTACTTTAGTTGTGATTAGAAATTTAGACTCAATTCGTCAAACGAGATTTATATCTTTAAAATAATCGTCTATAGTTTTGATATGGAGTGTTTATCCCTTTCCGTGTGCATGACAGTTTACTTTTCATTTTCTATCCCTTATTTGTCGGTGTTCAGATTAAGGAGTAAGAGGGGTTTACAATGTATATGTAGGCTCCATGTTGATATGTGTTGGTATCTTGAAAGGGTGACTATTTTGTAAGAAGGGAGATACACAATGCAATGGTTAAATAACGTCCAGTCAACTGACAAAATGAAGCTTTCTAAAAAATTTTTTCACCCTTCTAGATAATGGCAGTGCTAGCTCAGAGGAAGAAACACGAAAAGAAGCAGTGAATATAGATACGTGGCTTCATCGCAAGGATGCGGTAGCCTCTTTTAAGTGCCATCAGATCATCAAACATGGATTCTTAACACCAAGGTGCTATATAGCATTGAAATTTTGTAACTGCACAACTATTGTCTTTACTGTACTGTCACTTTTTAGAGAGGTGAAAACTGCTTTCAGTACACCAACAACTGGTTCAGGTTCTGATCACAGCAGAACCGTGCTAGCTCCAACTATTCGGGAATCGAAAAAGTTTCGAAACTGTTTGAGATTTCAAGAAATTTCATTAAAAAAGTAGCAAACGACTGAAGAATTTTAGAACATGTACTGAGCCTCTCTTGTCCTGACGAAATCCCCAAAAAAGCCTTTTCATCTCTCTTTAATTCTACATTGTTCTTAAGTTTGATGCGGGATTCATGCGTTGTGCAGGCATGTGAAAGGCTTCAATAAGAAAAGCGTGTCACGTATTTGAATTCAGAATTTTTTTAGATGAAAGACACCTTGATGACGCTGGATCCATCTAACCTGTTATTTCCTCCTTTTGTTTCCTCTCTTTCCTTATATTGTTTTGTTTTGTTTTGCAGCCACATCCTCCTCACAGATGTTCAAATGTTTATTTTACGCGAAATACCCAAAAAAGATGGCTGGGCGTACATTCAAAACAGGCATCACCTTACTTCAGTGGTTAAGATAACGTCTAAAAGAAGACATCCAGACTTGATCACATTTAAATATGGGACAAGCGACGGAGAAACAATTGAAGTCAATGAGACAGAAAGATATATTATTCCCAATGCAAAAAAGGCGACGCAAAAAATCAAAGATAGAATACTAAAATTAGTTGACGAGTCATGATATTCGGTCCAGCCTCTTCACAAAGAGTAGTTATTGTTTGCGCCAGAATTACAAGCAAAATGAGGTGAGGTTAGCCGAAGGCGGATTTTTGGATTGATTGTTCCAGTCTTTTTCATTATATTAAACCTTGATTTTTCTGTTAGAGAACAATACTCGATAACATACTTTCCTTCACTCTGGATTGAGTACACGTTGCTCTCAAGGCAATGACTATGAATCGTCATTCATTAGCAGCATGTTGGAGGGCGTCGTGTCTCTTCTATCAGATAATCAGATCCGTAATTTTCACGATTGTGAGCCAGGAAAGAAAGTTGTAGACTGCTTTACTTGGCATTGTTTTTCTCTTATCTCGTTTGCTTTAACACGCAGTCATTTTTTACCACAACGTAATTTTTTTTTCAAAGAAAAACAAATCAAAGTCCATTGCAAATTTCCTGGAAAACACAACAAAACATTCTAAAAATTTAATATACGACAGAAAAATAAATTCAGATTTTGTATGATATCAGTGTCCGGTTAGCAAAGGCATGACATTGTGCAGTTACCTCAGTGTTCAGTGTCTCCGATCCACCATGTGATAATCTATTTCAAAGTTTTCACGAATGAGGACTTTCTCAGGATAGTCTCATGGCCGATTGAATGAATTTAAGAAGTAGCAGTAAATTTGCTGATGTAATATATTTAGCGAATCCTGGAAACTTTATTCTTTATAGGAGGCGTGGTGATTTATACAGAGTAAAGAACTTTATTGGTATGTTGATATGAAGTTGTTGATTGTGTCAATAAAATGTGATTGATCTCCGTTATCGTGAAACATCTAGGGTACAGTACAACAACACGGTATACTAATATTTATCATGTTCTACAACATGCACCAAATCGAAATATGGCGTCCAATTTGAATTGCGATTGTTCTGGACTTACTAACCTCGTCTTTACGTGAAAACACCTTGGATTATCACATGTGCGAGAGGTTAATGAGTCCACAACAATGGTCATTCAAATTGGACGCCATATTTCGATTCAGTTTCTAACATTGTACATTGTAGCAAAGAGTTCCTTTTTAATAACAAATCTTATGTGACCGGAAAAAAACAAGCGCGCGAAAACCAGTCTTTACATTTCCACACGTCAGCAGCGTACACCCATGGGCAGTTATAGTTCACCACTAAATTTTCTCCGATTCTTATTGGCTTAAATTGATAAATTGATCATGTGACGTGTAGTGTTCATCCGTGGAGAGACACTATCAGCCCATAGTGCCCGTCCTCGGAAAATAACCCGGATGGATAGTACTTATCCATGAAAAATTTTGAATGGTTTGACGGCCGTGAAGTCAGGCAGATCGGAAAATCAGTGACTTTTCAATTCTGACAGGTATAGCGTATTATTTAGCCAATGTACGGTTGCGAATTGTTGACATTTGCGACAGGCTGTACACATGAATAAATATTTGATTGATCAGCGTTTAGTGGGTTTTGACTGTTTTTCAACTGGCGTACAGAAGAAAATTTAGTGGTGAACAATTAAGACAATAGAGTGTTACTGTCTCAGAACTATCGGTCTGATAGTTGCCCCTTGGAAATTTGATGTTCTTAAAACTAGCATATTTGCCCTCGAAGCTTCGCTTCTCGGACAAATAATTGTTTTAAGAACATCAAATTTCGATGGGGCAACTATCAGCCGATAGTCGATAGTCCCTCGACAGAAACACTCTACTGTCTTTATTGTTCACCACTAAATTTACTTCCGCGCGTACAGCCTGTCACAAATGTCAATAATTCGCAACCGTACTATTGTTAAATATAACAAGGGAGATTAAAAACTTAGCAATTGTAGCACATGGCACTTACCTAAGAAATTTATGTTTGGGAAAAAACAATTATACAATTATACTCTATATTCTATTTTATGGCCATTTTCCACATCGACATTCTATCATCGAGTACATTAGCCGCTGCCTTTGATAACCACTGCAAAATTTAAAGACCTCTTTAAACACTGGTAACTAGATTATGGCCAAGACCGCCATGGCGGAAGCGTACTTCACTATTAGCAGTTCCAATTGTTTGGCCGCAATTTGATTTGTTACAGTAGAAAATAAATGCGACTTCAAATGATGATAACATTTTAATATTGACACCTCGATCTGTTCTAAGAATAATTCAAAGATAAATGTATTCGATTAACCGATTTAAAAAAAAAAAAAAAAAAAAACCAAATGAAAGGCAAGTTATACAGGTCGCACGGGCCGGGCGTAATGAACGGATGCAGTATTCAGTGAAAACCTGACTTTGGATTATCACAACTCAATTTAATTGGATGAATGAATTTCCTCTAAACGTGACATTCACAAATGCAAATTGAACATCTTCGTGGCGCAATCAGCTAAAAGAAGCTGATAATACGTCATCTGTTTGATTTTCTAAACTATACTTTGCAATAGTATCTTAAGTGTTTCCTCCTCATGTACGACGACTTACGAATAACATAAACAAATGAAATAAACAGATATTCTCTCAACAAATAGCCGTATCCTCCCGCTGTGGAGAAACGTTTTTTCCTCAGGGAGGGTTCAGCTACACGTAGGCCAATCTTGACCTTTGCTCCATGTCGTGCGTGTCGTGCCTGTCCCTGAAATTCATGAGGTTTGCTTCAGTTCGTGTTTTTTTCCTGAAGCACGTACTTGTATGTAAGGCAGACCACCCTAGGAATGTTTCCGTCATCCAAGAAAATATTACGAATTATAAGTGTATAGTCGTATTTTTATACAGGATTTCATCATGGAATTGATCAGCATAATATGCGTGACTGTATGTTTAATATAGTTGTTTAAACGTATTTGAAGTGAGGTGAATTGTGGTTTAAGGTTGTTGTGAGTTGTTACCTATATTACATACATTACTTGACCACTCCCCATAGGGGCTTTTCAGGGCCCATTCACACCCATCCCACCCCAGGGGAGGACATCCCCTACACAGTAATCTCGTGCGTGAGAAATTAACATCTCCTACACCTAACCCTGCAGGAGACGGGCCCACGGTTTATTCGTCCTTATCCGAGAAGACTAGAATATCTATCCATTTTTTGATTATAGAAAGGTAGCAAATTCTCCTCACTTATTTTTTAAGACTATGAGTATCGGTCCGGCCGGGACTCGAACCCTCGACCTTCCGCACAACATAATCCGGCGCTCTAACCAATTGAGCTAACCTGGAGGCGGTTTTGAGAGAATTTATAGGAAAGAACTTCAGGTCAGTTATGGACAAAGCCTTTCCTGATTAAGTTTCAAAGCAGTTTATTCTCAAAATTTCGGTAGAGTTAAATTAATTGTGGATGCGCTCAAGTAGGATGTTTTTTTTTTCTCGGCTCTCAAAGCCATTTACGTACAGAAACAACTTGTCAATGACTCGTTTTTCAAAGTTGACTTCATTTTAGTGACATTCAAGTTATTTTCCCTGAAGCATTCAAAGGCGTCTTTTTATTCAAAATGATTTTTTCATGGATAAACCAGGTATCAAAATCCACTCACATGTAACGTGAAACAATTATCATTTCCTTTTGTCGAACAGATTGAATGAAAAGTCAGTAACAGCGTATCTAGACATTGCAGACGTGACACTTTACGGATCTTGTACCGCACGTAACAATGATTATTTTCATAGCATTCATGACATAGTCTGTACTCCAAGAAGTATGTCGTCATAACATTTGATACACAAAGTTACTTTTGTGATAAACGAAATACACTGGAAATGCCAACTGAGGTGATGGAATTCCTGCATGCCAACTAAGTTTTACTTGCCGAGGATACGCGCAATGAACCTTTTTTATTGATTACATTGTGATTACATGGAGACATCAGCAGGGACCACGCAGAGGGAGGGGATAAGGGGTTCTCAGCCACCCAGTTTGGTGTGGTAAAATAATAGAAATAAAACATATAGTGGTATAATGTTGCAGATACATTTGAACATACTGAGCGGATAGAATATCCGGATAGAATTGCCTTATTGGCAATGGAGACGCTCATTTAATTGAAGAGTCTTTTGTAACTCCAAACTGGTTGGGTTTTCGTTCTATTTAGAGTTCAAAGTAGGTCATTATATTATTATATTACATTGCACACGACTTTTCAAGTTTCGTTGGTTATTTTTCTTTAGGTTTCTGTTTTTTTTTTTTTTGAAGTTAAATTATGGCAAAATGTTTTAGCAACTCCCCCCACCCCTTTCCCGGTTCAACTGCCTTCAATTATTATTACCCACTTCCCACCTGCACTATAAACTTCAATAAGTGTCCAAATGACACTAAATCATGTTAATAGTTTTGTTTCCTTTCCTTTTTTTTTTTTAACCTAATCAGGATTTCAATCGCGTTTTTGTCGCATATTGGGTTGAGTTCTCATTCAATGCATCAAAAGATTCTCAGTTTATAATTTTCTGCCCCTCATTTGTTTAGAGCTCGTATATTACAAGGAGCAAAGCTGTATGCCGCTTAATGTAAGTTCAGAACACCAATCATTCCATCATTCAGCTTTAACCTATTTTATTGGGATATTTATACATGCGAGTGGAAAGGTCAAAGAGCAATATAAAAGCGTTCATATTGCCCATAACCAGCTACATTCAGTTTGGAGCAGTTTACAAATGACTAGTTAAAACTTTTTCCGAGGGCATTACACCATATTAAAATATAAGAAAGAAAATAATAATAAAAAAAGCTTCGTAGTTATACCTCTTGGCATTCACATAAGAAAATAGAAAAATGAAAATGACAATTATTTTCATTCGTTTCTCTGTAGTCTACATTAGCAGGAGCCCACTCCTAATATTATGGCCATTTTCTACGTCTACAGTTTATCATCGAGCTTATCGGCCGATGCCTTTGATAACCATTGCAAAATTTGAACACTCTAACTAGATCATGGACAAAACTGAGCCATAGCCGTAACGTTCTCCTTTGCAGTTAGATGTTAGTTACCAAAGAAACGAAAAGAAATGTTCTTAAAATTCTGGTATTGACACTTCGACCTGTACTTATAATAAAGTAACCAATATTTAAACATAAGTAAAATGAAATGTAGGTTACACAGTTCACCATGGGCGTAGTGAGCTGATGAAGTATTCAGTAAAAACAAATCGTAAACCTAACTTTGGATTATCATTGGCAAAATAAGAAACGATCTCCTTATCTGTCTTCTTTTGTGAGAAAAAATAATTGATGTCATCTGCAAGGGTCTTGGCGAGTGGGTAACCATCCTCTGGGAATGGAGTTCCCGAGTCGCTGACGGAGACCACTTTTGTCTTGATCTGGTCCAGGGTCTTATTGAAGACATACCCCTGAATTGCGTAGTCCAGTGCCTTTTGGTAACTATCGAAATTTCCGGAAATCTTCTCCCATGTTGCAGTCATCTTGGTGAGTTGAGTGTAGCTTTTATCTGGGAGCTGTGCATCTTTAACGACCTCATCTAGTGCTGTTGTCATTGCCGCTTGGAACTTCGTAACTTGATCCTGCTTCTTGTTGACTTCATCGATTGCGTCATCGAGCTTCTCCAATGTCCAGACTCCTAGTCCAATTGTGGTGGCAAGGCCTGCTATTCCGAACACAATCCCAGCGACATTGAGACCATTGATGGCTTTAGTGAGCTTTGGAGTTTCGGAGAATGAACTCTCAGGCTCTACCACTGGGGGAGGCTCGGCGCCGTCAAGTGGAACGTATTCGAAGGGATCCTCCACTGGTTCTGTGGGCTCTTCCCCTTTTGCCTTGCGGTTACGAAAGTAACGGACAACTTGGAGCACTCCCGCGC